TTCTCTGAGAGGAATTCAGCAATCAACCAGTAAGCCGAAACAACAGATCGGTCGCTCAACGCGACAACAATCATTTAAGGGAAAGTTTGGAGGGAACGTTTTACTGGAGAATTGACAATAAGATTATTATGACCGAGGGCAAATTGAACTAATAGAACTGCAGGATGATGGTGAATTTATTGCTGTATCTTTCCTATTTGTTCCATTTCCATTGTTCTTACAGAACTGTGTCCTCCAGTGGGCAGCTTGAGTGGGCAATGCTCCTGTTGTCCTGTTGCTTGGGAAACTATAAAACTCTTACCTTTTTCAAGGTGGCTAAAGACTAAGAAAGGGGCATTAAGAAACGGGCATTAAGAGCTGTGGTGACACAGTGGTTGGAATGCAGTACTGCAGGCTACTTCTGCCGGCTGCCAGCAGTTTGGCAGATCAAATCTCACCAGGGTCAAGGTTGACTCAGCCTTCCATCCTTCTGAGGTAAAAGGAGGACCCATATTTTGGGGGCAATATGCTGACTCTGTAAACTGCCGTGAAAGGGCTGTAAAGCACTGTAAAGTGGTATATAAGTCTAAGTGCTATTGCTATTACAATTAAAAGGTATCAAGGCTCAATCGGAGCAGTAAACCCAACAGAAGATTAATGAGTTTTTAATGAATTGAGAGACAGCAGTTTGGAAATTCTTGTTTATGAACTATACTCCAGCCTTCCCAAAATGTCCTGTAGCCTCTTCTATCTTTAAATCTCAAGTAAAGATGATTCTGCAGATTGTTCTCCAATTCATTGATTAGGAAGTGTTGGTTTGCTGTCTATTGGGACACAGTAGATCTGTGTCCCAGGAGCTCAGCATTCTGGAGTCAGTTCAGATTCTGAACACAATAATTATTCTGTTAGTTCTTGACTTGCAATCACTATCGGGACTAGATATTTCCATTGCCAAACAAGATAGTTCTTAAGTGAGTTGGGAGCTCAGACTGCACCGAGCCCCTCACATAAGTGAACTGTGCCTGATTTTGTGACCTTTTTGCCACACTTATGCAGTTGTTAAGTGAATTATGTGGGGTTTTTTTAAGTGAATCAGCTTCTCCTATTGATTTTGCTGAGAAGGTCATAAACAGTGATCAATGACCCTGGGATTCTGCAACCAATGTAACAGTTGCTAGCAGATCTGGAAGATCCCAGGTTGATTTGCAGCCCATCAACTGGCTGGTCTGATGTCACCAGGGAGAGAGGAATTTATTGGGTTTAGTATTGTTGCTTTATTTCTGTAAATTGCCCAGAACCGCCATGAATGAGTTTCTGAGTTGGGTGGCCCATATAAATTATCTGAATAAATAAATAAAATAAAAATAATAAATACACGTGGGTTGCCATCAGATCATACAAGACTGGTCATACATATATTCTTTTTCAGAATGGTTGCTAAGTGAATGGCTATAAGTCGAGGACTCCTCATAATACGTTTTTAACTACATTAGTAGGGCAAAAAATTTTTAGAGGGCAATGCCTGAGTACTAGCAGCCAGGAAGTTCTTTCTAAGATCGGATCTGAGCTGGGAAGAGCCTCAATGGAGGCATCTTACTTTCAGCTCTTGCCAACTGAAAGGGAAAAGGGTAAGGACTTACGTTGCATTTTCTCCATCTAGCCACTTCCAGTGTTGATTCGGTTCTCTCGTGAGGCCGATCCAAAAGACATGGACTTTTGTGAACATCCTTATAATACCCTTTAAAAAATGGTGCATGTTAGAACGTTGCATCGTTACAATTCCCAGCTGAATTTCTGAACTTGCATATAGGCTGAAAAGGCTAAAACCATCTTTTGAACACAGGTAGTAGTTCCTTTAATGAAAGGCAAAACGAGAGACCCTCGTTAATTTTTTTTTTGAAGTAATTTTTAAACCTTTTGTAGAAGGTTAAAAAAAACTTGATTTTCCTAGAATGGATCTGGACAATGTCTACTATTTTATTTTTGGCTTCCTCTGCTTCTGAGATTCACATTTTTATGAATTGGGGGATGATTATTAGATGTTTCCAAGTTTCTATGCAGGAAAAAAAATAAAACAAGTAAATGACTTACTAATTTTAATGATGTTTAGAGATGTTTAGTGATGTTTTAATTTTCTATGTCAACAGAGTTTAATTTGTAAAACCAGCATTCTTTGGAACCTGGAGAAGGTTTAAGAGGCTCCTGAAGCTTTTGTTCAGAAAGGCATCTAAGGAGATTTTATTTTTACTAATATTAGCAGAAAAACTTTTTCACATTGTAAAAGAGCATGCATCATCAATGATGTAACATTATTTCTAGGAACTGATTTAGCCTGGTGAAAACCACTTACATTAGTCACAATTTCCTCCTCTGTAATTTTGGCCAAGGTAGCATTATGCAAAAAACAAGAGTTCTTGCTCTCATTCCAGTTCTTCTCCTCCTCTGACAATTTGTAGCAGCTTTTATTATGTCCATACCAGTCAGGTGGGCAATAAAAGACATTCTGTTGGTAGTTTAATGGCACTGACGTTCCTAGAACAAAAAGAGACAAAAAGAATAGAAACTAACTTATTCCGTCTTGTTCTTATAAGTAGGATGGGACCATCCTGCTAAATTAGAACCTGTTGCTGATTTCTAACAAAACCCAATCTGGATAAGGAGACCCAATGTTTTAGCTGTTGTAACAACTCCCATTCTATAATCCTCAGATTAATAATAGAGATTGTGGACTGAGCAGTGATTTACATGGTGGATTTGAATCTAAGAAACCACATGTAAATCTACTTATTCAGCCATGAATCTCTTTGTGAGATTTTCCACTGATTTGATCAATCTGTTTGACATTTGGTCCACCTTTTTCACAATTATTGCTTTTGGCAGGAAATCACTAAATAAAGAAATGCATGTCTGCTCATTTTATTTTTTGAGACATGCCTTTACTATTACAGTCACTTGTTTTCTATTTATAATTTCTTTTTCCTGTAAGCTCCTTAAACCATTATTTCTGCTCTTCTCACTAGTGCCAAATGAGTATTCCCCCTCCCTTTCTGGTGATCTCATTCTGGATTAATCTCACAAAATAAGATTCAGTGATACTTTTAACCAAACACCGAGACTTTTTCCAAACAAAGGAACTGAAGTTTTCCTGGATGAGATGAAGCAGATTGCAGGGACTAAAAAGCAGGGCAAGGCCAACACTATGTTTCTAACCCATCTGCGGAAGTCATTCAGCTTCATGAACTCGTGGAGAAGCTTTTCATAGGAACAGGATTAGGGTCTGGATTCCTTACCCTGGTAATAAATGAGATGTAGGAGAGAACCGGGCTGAGCCCAAGGGAGGGGTGAATCACATAATCAGTCTTGAGTCCCTTCACACCCACAAGAGATCTAAGTCCAGCCCACCGTGAATGCCTTTGACTCTTGTCTATCATCAATTTGCTTTGGCTGTTAGTAGTTCAGAGTCTTGTAGACAACTTAAGATTGCAGTAAAATTTTATACCGGTTTGAACTGCCTCGGTCTTCTGATTTTCCGTGGTGTTTGACCGGACAAGGGCAATGACGATACTCAGGAGGATGACCAGGAAGGTGGCAATGGCAATTCCAATTATTACAATTTTTTTTTTAGAGTAAGATCTTGGTTCTGCACAAAAAAGAAGAGAAACAAGATTCATCAGCAGTCATCTGTTACATCAAAGGAAGGTAGAAAGAAATCTGGATACTGATAAGCAGAAATCCCTAAATAAAATATTATAAACATTTGTAAGTTGCTAAGATTTTCTTGCTTTTTTGCTTTTTAATTTCCAAAGTCAATAACTGTCCTCAATTGAAATGTCAATCAAAATGTCAGTCTGATTCTGATGAACTACCATGTTCTAACTGAGCAAATAAAACTGCTTCAGAGTTCTTGCCATCTTATCATTTTATCTTAGTGTATTTTAACTTATCTTTATCTTTTCTTCCTCCCCTTTCTAAGAAGACTTGCAGGATCTCCTTGGTGTCCATGATGGATCTGGAGGCTTGTTGGCCTTTCCCAGGGCATTAAAAACTTGGCTGGGTTCCTGGGCCTGGAACTTGGAATGGGGTAAGGGCCCCAATTCCTTGGCTTTACCATTAGTTGATTAATTATCTTGGCTGCTGTTTCTATTAATTTTCTGGATGTTTTTAATGTTTTATTGTTTTTAATTATTTTAATCATTTTAGAATTGTAAGCCACCCAGTTGGTTGAATAGAGTACCTATAGAAATGGAATGAAGGAATGAATAAATGAATGGATAAAACAAACAAATGAATAAATAAATTGATGGTACCACAGAGAAACTACACAAAGTCTGCACAAAGGTGGGGTAAAATTGGCGTAAGTCATTTAATTGCTTGAGATAAACTACAAATGGTCCCTGGAACAAATCTATTTTTCCTCTTCTCCATTCTACAGCATCCTGGACAAGGAACATCCCCAGGCAGATCCATACCTAAAATCTATATTGTTGTATGTTTAAAGCTGACTTCCCACGCTCTCTTCTAATCCTATACATTTTAGGGCAGTGACTTGTTACCACTTACTAGGACTAGTCCCCCCCTCTCTAGTCCCATTTGCTTCTTTATTTCACTACATTTATTTTAAAGCTGTCCCCTGCGACAGATTCTGAACGCCTGCTCTCTGTCTTGTGAAAGATTAAAATTCAGCAGTTTTTCAAAGTCCAATTGGGGACAGGGTATGCATTTTGTATTGCTCCGTGGCCGTGGTTTGGATAATTCAATCCCTCATTTGGGTGAATGGTTTCCAGATCTCGATATTGTTACTATACCTGATTCTTCCTCTTGTCCTCGTGCATTTCCATGGGGAGAAGGGTGCTGCAGCTCTTGCTCCTTATTTATGTTCCCGATTTCTATATTTATACGATCTGGAATTAGAAATGCGGCTGTCACAAGAAAAAAGGCCAAGATGCTTACAGAAGATGGCAAATTACTACTAATGTTTAGGTATAAGACACAGCCTTTTCAAAAGCATACAGCAGAAAATAACTTGTCATGCAAAGGATTCTTATGGCCGTTAATAAATTGGGCAATGTTTCATTAGAGAAGCAAAAAAAAAAAATCAACATTCCATTACCTACATTCTGTTAAAAGGGTTGAATTCATTTGAGAATCTGTTGGTCTTGGCTGGTCTTCAAAAACTAAGAAGGGTGAGAGCCTAATAGAGAATCCAAAGGCTAGAATGATTGATTGAAAAGCTTTCCATTCAGCAACACCCAAAAACGCCAATCCATGCACAACACACAAAAACACATGTGTCTTAAATGACTTATAAGAAATTAGATACAGATTCCTTTCCCAAGTTATAATTTCAGCAGAAAAGACCTATAGCAGAGACCCAGGCAGGAGACCATGATTTCTGTTTAATTTACCAACACTTTTTATTTATTTTTCATTCACTTCAGTGACGCCTCTATTCAGTTTGTCTATTCTCCTAAAATCCTCTCCTTTGTCAATATTTAAAGGAAAACTGGGAGAAATAGTTTCTACCCATTTCCCTAAAAATAAGGCCTATCCAGAAAATAAGTCCTAGCATGCTTTTCGTGTGCGTGCCTAATATAAGCCCTACCCCCCAAATAACCCCTAAAGAGCCTGTGCAGCCGCCTGGTCGCCCATTCTGTCTGGTTGCTCATGGTGCCGTGGCCACGAAGCGAGGCAGTGGTGGAGCTACCACAGACATCCCACACCGGCTTACCTCAGGACCCCATAGCCAGGCCAGCCACACCCTGACACCTGCCTTGCGGTGGCAGCTCCAATAATCATGTGCAGGAGGAGCCCACGTGGCCACCGGCCCACTTCTGCTTCCTTGTAGCCTCATGGAGCTGGCAGCCGAGCGGTGTGATGATGCCATGGCTGTGAAGCAGGTGTCAGGGCATTGCTGGCATGGCCCTGAGGTAAATCAGTGCAGGGTGTGTACAGCAGCTCCACCCGCCTCACCTCGTGGCCATGGCACCAGTACATTGCTCCGCCTCCTACTCCATTGTGGCCTCAAGGAAGCGTGGGTCAGCAGCCATGAGGGGTCCTGCTGGACGGGGCTGCTGGTGCCATGGGCGCAAGGTGAGGCAGGTTTCAGAGCATGAGTGGCCTGGCTATGGGAGCCCTCAGATAAGCCAGTGCTCCATCCTCTCCTGCCTCACAGTGGTGGTGCTCGTACACCGCAAGCAACCAGAAGAAGTGGGCCTCACATACATGGGGAAAAAATTAGACACCCCCCCCCCAAAAAATAAGCCCCAAGTTTGATATATGTATTGAAAGAAAGCTTTAAGTTAGTTTTGTATGTATAAAATGAGCTTGTAAATGTATATCCTTTGTCTTTTTAAGTAATGCTGAATAATTCCCAAAGTTTGTAAAATTGACTAAATTTGAAAGATCCATTCCATGAGGATAAATTCGAGGGATTCAAATTCAGTGAGCTAATTGGACTTATATTGGTGTGATATATATAATTGAAATCTCTAATGTAGCGTTGTATTTACAAAAATAAGATATACCATATTTTTCAGTATGTAAGACACACTTCCCCCCCTCCCCAAAAGTGGGTGGAAATGTCTGTGCGTCTTATACAACGAATGTTGCCGAAGCCCAGCCCACCTGCCAGCCCCCTCCCTTTAGTCTCTGCCTCCAGCAATTTGCCTCCTTGCAGCAAACTTCCTATTTCAGTTTCAGCACAGCCTGATTAGTACAAGCAGCTGATTGTCGGTTGGATCGTCCTCCTGACAATCAGCTGTTGCAAGTTGCAGGGATCACCATCACCTATTGCCGCTTCTGTGTGCCCCATTCTCAGCCTCCACATGCCCCAGGGATCACCATCACCTATTGCCGCTTCTGTGTGCTCCATTCTCAGCCTCCACGTGCCCCATTTTCCGCTTGTTCCAGGCAGCAGGGATTGGAACAGGCAGAAAATGGGAGTGCATGGAGGCCAAAAATGGGGTGCGCAGCGGAAAAAGGAGGTCGAAATTGGGGCACGGAGGTGGCAATAGGCGATGGCAATCCTTGCAGCCTGAAACAGTTGATTGTCGGGAAGACGATCTAACCAACGATCAGCTTCTTGTGCTAATCAGGCTATGCTGAAGCTGGCTGTTTGCTGTTTACTTCAAGGAGGCAAATTGCTGGGAGGCAGAGGAAAAAGTAGATGTTTTTTTCTTGTTTTCCTCCCCCAAAATTAGGTGCATCTTATGTTTCGGAGCGTCTTATATTCTGAAAAATACAGTGCGTATATGAGTGTCTGTATAAAATACTTGAGTACTTTTTAAAGTTAGTAATGTATAGTTTAAAAAAAATGTTTTCGCCCCTTAAGCTTAAAAAATTGCAATAATATACAGGATTTTCTTAATATAAATTATGATCAAGATTAATGAGTTAACAAACATATATTAACTCCCCACAGCAAAGACAAGCAGAGATGGTCAAATTGATTATTTTATCCACAGAAGACAATATATCTAACTTTGTGTCTGTTCCGAATTGCTTCTGGATTTTGTGATTGCAATGAAAAAAATATATGAAACTTTTGTTGTTGTTTTTTAACTAGTTGGGCTTATTGTTATAGAAATGGCTTGTACATACTTTTCT